TTTCTTTCTTTTTCTTTCTTTCTTTCTTCTTTCTTTCAAAAGGGAAAGCTCATCAAAGTAGGTTTCTGAGATTCTTCTGGGATTCTGGGATTGCAATTTTTTTAAAATTCTTTGTCTTTTTTAAAGGTTGAATTTGTTTTGTCCAATTTTATTTGTATATCAGATCATTCTGGAAGTTTTTTGATAATGTTTCATTATGTCTTTTTCAGCTCCTAAAGACAATCATTTGCTTTGTGTTTCATTTTAGTTCCTTAATGGACAGAGTTACAAGGACCTCATTGTTCAAATTTGCATACTTGGTAAAATAGATTTGTGTAAATTATACTTACAAAGCTTATCATTTCCATGCACATCTCACTAGCTACTACACTAATTTTAGGTTTTAAAACAGTTACAATGGAGGAGTACAACCTTCTCCTAGTGCAGCATGAGACAAAGGAAAACTTAGACAATAGAATTCTCCTTGCCAAATTCTACCCCCACAATCTTTATGTAAGTAAAAATTTCAAAAGAAAATTAAGGTAGTTTTCATTTTGAATAAGTCATACTGAAAGGGGACTCATTCATTCTTCAAGTATTTGCTGAGCATCTGCCACGCCTCGCTCAATGGTACGTCCGCATACGTGGTGGAAGTGTGTGTGAGGCTGGCAGGAGCCGTCTTCGGTAAAGAAAGAAGGCATGGGGGGCAGTTCTGCATTCTGTACCCTTGCACATCCGTCCTCCCTGCTGACAGGCATACCTACTCTTTCTTTCAAGTCCCCCTTTCCCCCTTTTTCTCTAGTCATGGGCACCAACCACATACGGTTCCCATGAATGGCTGGGCTAGAGGAATTTGTCACCATTCACCATTGACCGGAGGTATATGAAGACGTTCTTGTCAAAATCGAGTTCAATTTTCAATAGCGATCTGCAGAGAAGCCATTTTAATCTCGAATGGGGGGAGAAACAGGAAAAATGACACAAATGTGTCTGTTCTGCCCTTGTAGAGCCAGAGTCACACACTTTGCACACCGCAGAAAGGGGCAGGCTCAGATAAAAGAAGGGCAGAGTGTCGACTCGTGATTAGAAGCCAGGCAGGCCCCTGTTGCAACCACAGCTCAGGGAGCCCCATATGGTCAAGGCATTCTTCACTCGACCAAGCGCATAGTGGGGCTTCCTGTCTGTGAAAACAAGCCAGTACTGCAGCCAGCTGCAACGTTTGCGGCTCCCCTGCATTTGGTTTTATCTAAAAAGGGATGTACTACATTATTTCATACACAGGAAAATACGAAGTGTAGCAAACAAGGCACCTTTTGAAAGAGCTCCTCTCTACTTCAACATCTAGAAATGTTTGAAAAAATGATGACAAATATCCCCGGTTAAATGCATGGCCAAGCTTATAAAAATAGATAAATAAATAAAATAAGGGAAATCCCCAATGAAAAACAGGCGGAGCTCTAAACCGGTGATAAGCCAGCATTTAAAGAAGAGCTGGGCTCAGCATCGGTTAATCTCAAGTACGCTGTCTACTTAGAGAGCCGGCTTTCAGGAGTTCTCAATAAGCCAGAAAACAGAGCCAAGGCTGCCCTGACTGAGGCAGGGCCACTCAAACTGCTGCAACTTCAGTGAAGGAGTAGATAGAAAAAAACTAGTCACATCCAAAGAAGAATGACAAGGACCCATGTCTAATACCAGGGCTTTGTTCTTCTGGGTTTAAACTTTAAGCTTACCCATGTGGCCCAGGCAACCAAGCCAAGCATATAGCAATGCAGTCTTGGGTGGGACAGGTGCTTGCGCTGCCGGATGGAGCAATGCAAGTCTTCAAGGGGGAGTGTGCATCCTCCACCCAGTCCTCAGAGGGTCCTACAGGCCATGTGGCATGAATGCACAAGAAAGCTAATGGACACATCTCCATCCAAATCCAAAAGCTATGGACCAGGGCCAACTGCTGGTGTGGAAGTGAAGTCAACTAGATCCTACATGACCAACCCCACGGTTCAAGTACCAGACCTGGTAGCTTTAAAATCACACAGGCGCGTGTGCATGCATGCCCCAAAATCCGAAGAGGAAAATGAAGAAGGGATTGCAGGGTAGCCATTCCCCCTGGGGGGGGTTTGCACTTCCCTTTCTCTGTCTCTCTGTCTCTCTCTCTCTAGTGAGAGCATGTGCCCTGTAGCAAAAACTGGGGAGAGAAAAGTGCTCATGTGCCTAAAATCCTGAGAGGAGGGAGAAATGGAGGGGAAAGGATTGTGGTGTGACCATGCCTCATAGGGGGTGCACTCTCACTTTCCTTCTCTTTCTGTCTCTGTCTCTCTCTGGTGAATACGTGCAACCTCTGGCAAATTAAAAAGAACAACAACAATAACAACAGCAAAAGATTGGATTTAAAAAATTAACTGGGGACCAGCAAGCAGATGGTGAAACAGTTATGTCGCTGGACTTCCACATAGTCAACCGTGGTTCAAGCCTTGAACCCAGCAGATGAATTCCAAAATCCCAAGAGGAGCATGGAGGAGAAAGGATTGTGGCATGGCCATCCCCTTGGGGGATGACTTCTCATTTTCTGTCTCTCTAGTAAGCGCACACGCTCTATAGCAAAAATCTCTCTCAAATAAATAAATAAATAAATAAATAAATAAATAAATAAATAAATAAATAAAAATAATTGATCCCCTGGAATCTAGTTGGGAAGCACAGGCTGATCCACTAAGCCTGCAGGAAAAAATAAGAAGCAAGGAGGCTGAGCATTAGTGCCTTCCTGGGAGGGCACAGAGAACTGGTTCAGTGGCTGCGCTGTAGGCTAGCAGGGCCACCATTACAATCAGAGCCTTCTGTAAAGCAGGCCACTTAATACATGCAGACCAAATGGCCACTAGCTTTCACTGCTCTGTAAGTGCCTTCTGTGTGGGCCACAGAGCCAGGCCTCAGTCATTTGGTTCCAATGGATGTTGTCACCATGTTTAGGGCTCACACAAGTCACAAGCCAAAGTTCAATTGTTCAATTGTAGGCGGCAAGCCAGAGGGGACGAGCCCAGGGGAGGGTCAAGTCTTTGGGTGGCAGAGCTTTGAGCCACACGCTCGGACATGGACATCAAGTCTGTGTGTACAGACAGAGTGACTCTGCCAAGCAGAAGCCCAGGTGGGAAGTGCCAGTGGAGAGGGCTGAGCAGACACACTCAGAGGGCCAAGCAGGAGCAGGCCGAGTCTTCCCTCCATGTGGCATGAACTGCTGTCTGTGGATATGTGTCACTGAGGCAGTTGCAAGTCTGTTTCTCTTGCTTCTAGAACATACTGAAAAGTGCTACCCTGTAGACAAATCGCAACTGTCTAGGATGTAAATAAGATGCCCGATAAGTAGTTCATTTCTTAAATCATTACCAACAGTAGCTGAATAGCTTTTTTCCCTCTTTTGTCAAAAAATTATTTTATTTATTATTATTATTCTCTTTATTTATTTATTTATTTATTATTGTTTTGGAGGGATTTTTGCTATAGGGCATGTGCATTTGCCAGAGAAACAGAAAGCAAGAATTCACCCCCCAGGGAGGATGGCCATGCCACATCCCTTCTCCTCCATGCTCCTCTTGGGATTTTGGGCACACACGCACATGTGCCCAGTGTGAGTTTCAAGCCACTGGCTCTAAGTCTTGAACTGCAGTCAACCACATGGGAGTCTAGCACCTTAACCACTACACCATCTGCTGGTCCCATTCAATGTATTCAAGATTTCCTAAAGAGCTCTGGAATTTCGACTGCCTTGAAGTAGGGAAGGAAATTGCACCACTAGCAACCAGTGAAGATGGGTCTGCAGCAAACAACCTGGGCCCCTCAAAGTAGCCGGACCCCGTCCCTCACTTCCTGTGGCAACAGGAAATTCATTCGCATTTTTCGGCCCTAAACTTATCCCTTAGGTTTGATAGATTCCATTTATTTGTATGGATCTCAAAAATCATTAAATAAAAGAAAGGATAATCTTCTACCTCTTTGGGTCTCAAAATATCTTAAGAAACACTTCACCGACCGCATTCTGATCGCTCTTACTCATCCAGGATTTCTGAACCTCCTCTGCTCTGTTTCTCTCTCTCCCTGTCACACACACACACACACACACACACACACACACACACACGCACGCATACACACACACACACGCAATGCAAGTACACACACCGTTGGATTACACATAGGATAAGGCACTAGCAATCACTATCTTCTGCATTTGTTCAGTCTCACCTGAAGCACTGTGTATAGTCCAGAGTTCCACAGGCTGAGGAAGAAACTGGAGCATGGAGTCAGCAGGTAGCATGGTGGTTGAGGTGCTGGGTACCACATACTCAACTACATGGTTCAAGTCCTGGGCCTGGCGGCTTGAAAAACATACTAGGTGCGGGTATGTGTGTACCCATCTGGAAAGAACGGAGAAGGGGACTATGGTGTGGCCATCCCCTTTCAGGGGTGATTTCTGATTTCTCACTTCTCCTCCCTCTCTGTCTCTGTCTCTGGTGAGTGCACACACCCTATGGTAAAAATTTTAAAAAGGAAAAGAAACTGCAGAATGATTAAGAGTCCAAAAACTGCCCCCGAGGACCAGCTGAAGGAACTAGAAAAGAGACATTTGGAGATCTTTTAATTGTTAGAAATCGGTAGTAATTTGATTATTCCAAACAGACTGATTTTCATACCTCTCTACAATTTGATAGCAAGCGGTCACAGTGGTGGCCTCTGTACTCAGTTCTCTGTCTCTTCTAACGGGGGCTGTAGTTTAGGCTGTGCCTTTTCTAAAACTGGGCAAATGATTGATTCTGGGAAAAAAAAAAAAAAGATTTAACTACGATATTAAGGATTTCATGAAGCTGCTGCTTCCAATCACCTGATCACTGCAGATGGTCTGACCATGTCAGATAAGACCTCGTTATCTGCCATGCACCAGCGTCCCACGGCACTACTTTCCATATTCAACAAAACCTCTCTTTGCATAGACACGCGTGTGTGGAAACAGCACATTCGTACAGAGTCCAGTGTGCGCCAGAAGGCAACCGTACAGACAGTCAAGTTCTTTCATGCCAGGACAGACACGAAGCTGAACGTCCTGTGAATTTCACAACCTGATTTCAAAATGATCACAACAAAGAGGAAGTGAAAGTCAGCATGGTGGGCTGCTCTCTGGGATGTGTTTGTAAGTACGAGATTCTCTGAAACGGCCGATAAATAAGAGCCTAATGGATGTTGATTCCAGTAGCCGGACAGCGAGGAGAGCCGGCAGGACTTCTAAGGAAAGAAGTAAACTAGTAAACGCCTATGGCGTTGCCTGGCCTTGGCTTCCTGAACTTAAATTTTACAGCCACCCCGTAAATAAATGGATCTTCTAAACTGGGCAGTAGAGAAGATTCCGCGGTTTTAGAACGCAGGGTGCTCTTTCATTTTATGTGTTCTATGTGCATACAGGTTTAGATAAAGAGTTGTTTGCTTGAAAAACAATGCATTGCCAAATTATTAGTTCCATCGCTTTATTAGCTGTGTTAATTCCAGATGCAGATTATGGTCTTAGCTGTAAAGCTCGATTTTATAAAAAGTTCGTCATTATTTTGGGTTATGTCGAAGCACAAGTACACACCAATTGCTGACTTTCTTAGAAGTCAAGCATTTTATATGCTATGACAAACAAAATCGTGCAAGGGCGTAAATTGCTCCAGATTTTTCTGAATTTTATGCAATACTCTATATGGTAAAAAAATGAATATTTTTAAATGCATGAGTTATAGGTGAACAGAAAGAAATGACTGACTGTCTATCAGGATAATAAAAGAATTAAAATATGTGAAAAGGTGATTTAAATACATCTGCTCTCATCACTTTAAGATGTCGTTTCATGCTGGAGGAAGCATGGATGTATTTCTGGAAGAGTACATATTCAACTCAACTCACTGCTAATAAGAATTAGATTATATCAGTGACATATATTGTTCTTCATGAATAATTACGAGGAGAAGACACTGGAGACAAAAATATTATGGAGACCGACGCCTGCTCTGATGCTCTATGCTTAGCTGTGAAAGTACACTCTAGTTTTACCGAGACAGTATTAAACAAGAGAGAGTCGTCCCCATAGCACAGGAGTTAAGGGCATCGCAGAAAGAGCCAAATTCCACATTGCCAATGGGGTTCAAATCCCAGTCCTTGTGGCTTAACAAACACACTGCATGTGCATGTACTAGGATCCTGGTGGGATGGCGAAAGGGAGGGGGTAATAGGATTGGGCCTGATCAGGCCCCATGTGGTCGCTTTCTCTCTATCTAGCAAAATAGTAAAAAAATAAAATAGAAGAAGTAAGCAAATTCATACATGATACTAAAAAAAAATGAGAAAATGTGATGGAACAATAAAAAAAAACCATATTGAATTTTTATGATTTATGAAATAAAATTCTAAGTAATGAATCAGTAAGTCACAAATTGGGATAACCATAATTCAGCACTTACGAACTGGAAAAATTATTTAAAATTAAGGCAGAGTATTTCTAGAAATTCTTGCCAAATATGCATTCCCCAGGAAGCACACGATAATCTTTGTTTTTGTTTGGTTCTATTATTTTAAGGTCCATGGAATGTTTCCACATATCATACCAGCAATAGGAGAAAAATATGATTGTATTGATTTAAAGCTTGGTGAGCTTATCCACAATTTAAATTAGTTCTATGTCATATCAGTTTAAGTCATGTTCTTTACTAGGAACTTTTTGCCAAAATCGAGTTGTAGTTTTTATGAAATATTTGAGATTGATTTTTATTTTTACCAGTAACTGACTATTTGCACTCTATTTAAAGAGTCAAATTTAACTAAAGAAGTCCTCAGTTAGACTTAACAAACAATAAATTTTTGTAGTTTACTTTTTTATAATTAATCTCTCTACATCTCTACAGCATACAGAATGTTTTTTTCCTAGCATAAATACAATGCATGTTAGTCAAGTCATAGATATTACCATATACATTATCACAGGTAACTTTTCTTTTTTGTTTCTGTTAAATTTTATTTTCCCCCATCCCTTCCATCTCTCTCCCTGTTATCCACCCTCTCCCTATACTGTCTATAATACCTGCAATTGCCTTCCCTGCCATTATACCTTCCAATCTTTCAGTTTTGCCATAGAGTACAGACATTCGGCAGATATTAAGTAGGGACATACTCTGCCATCTTCATAGTCTGGCTCAATTATCTTAGTATTAAATATTCATCCACTTTGTATCAAATGTCAGGGTCTTGTTGTTTTTTATGACTGAGTAATATTCCATAGAGTATATGTGCCACATTTTTTTAATCCATTCATCTATTCTTGGACTTTGGGGCTGAGTCCATGTCTTAATAATTGTGAATAATGCCAAAATAAACATGGATATGCAAGTGTTTTTCTGGCTGTGTCCCTAACCTTTTGGTAGATACCCAGGAATGGAATTACTGAGAAGTTCTATTTGTAGGTTTAAACAGAAATTATAAGCTTTACCAATAAGATGTTTTAATCACATTATTACCCTAAAAAACTATACTTTTTAAAGAAAATTACTGTCTTTGAAATTTCTAAAAACTATTTCTTAAATGTCCTCAATTACAATGATGAGGGAACGTCACTCTGTTACTCTATATTTTGATGTTATTAAGCTGTAAGCAGAAATCTATTATTTAATGATAAATATTATTGAATGCAAATTTGCAGGTGTTTTTTTCATCCACTAGTTATTTTGGAAAGTCTTTGTCCTCAAACTGGATTATAGCAGCTCATTTTGTCAGCTGAAATCTGAAAGGCTGCCTTTTCTCTTACAGGCACGAATATACTAATTTCTACTTCATCTGTCTTTCATCTTTGAACATACTTACTTTGAAATACTTTCTTGTTTTCTGTCTCCTTGTTTAATGTCCTTCTTCCTTCGTGTTTAGATATTCCTTGCTATAGTTTTATGTGTTTGAGTTGGAAGTGGTAATAAGCTCAAATAGTCCTCCTGACCTTTTCACCGGAGCTGTGTTAATACTTGAGAGTTCATTTCTTCGTTGCAATGTAGGACAGCACTGTATGGACATGGGGAGCACTGTGACATTCCAGCAAAGTCACGGTGCATGGGGAGAGGGACTGGACCCTGGTCATCAGCATTGGAGAAGCACGGGCACGTGGGCAGATGTGCAGCCCCAGCAAGCTAGAGAGACAGGTGGCAGGGCTGGTGCTGGGCCGAGGTTCCGGAGCAGAACTGCAGCCACCAGGACAGTCCAACAAGTCCCATTTCGTAAAGGAATTGAAATCATGAGGACTTCATAAAAATCAATTGTTTTGTGACCTACTTATTTGATGCATAATATATTCTGTGTTTTAATAAGCTATAGGGAACATGCACTCACTGGGGAAAGAAAGAGAGAGAGGAAACACCCTGCTGGGGAGATGGCCTGGCCATAATCCATCCTCCTCTCCAGATTTTGGACATGCTCACACAAGTGCCCTGTGTGTTCTTCAAGTCCTTCGGTCCAGGATCCAAACTACAGCCAAGCAAGATCCGGCGACCTTAACCACCACACAGCGGGCAAACCCAATCCATAATACATTTTACACCACAATTCAGCCACTGAACATTTTCTGTGATTTAATTACTGATGCTTTTATGACACTTATTCTATTTGTATTCCATAATTTAGTAAATCTGTGAATATTTGACTTAGAATACTAAACAACATAGGAACAACTACTTACACATGATTATCACATAATATTTGAACATAACATTTCAGGAAATTTACATCTAGTAGAAGTAGATAAATTAAAAATATTGAGACAAGCAGATGGTGCAATGGTTATGTTGCTGGAATCCAAGTAGTTGACTGTGGTTCAAGTCCTGGACCCAGCAGCTTAAAACTCACACCAGGTATATGTGTGTGCATGCCCAAAAGCCCGAGAGGAGAAATAAGGAGAAGGGACTGGAGCATGCCCATCCTCTTTGGAGGGTCATTTCTTTCTCTGTCTCCCCAGTGAGCACACGCACCCTATAGCCAAAATCTCTCAATTAAAAAATATATATGAATAACATGATATAGAATATATATTCATTATAGATCCATATATATCTGTGTGTGCATAGTGTATGTGTGTGTATATATATTACATATATGCATATGAGGGTTTTTTTGCTCCTTTTTCAGTGTTACCCAATTAATAAACAGCTGACTCCAGAGAACCTCGCTCTGAATAAATCACGTATTTAGCTGAGTGCAAGGCTGTTATTGCTCTTTTCAGAGTCTTTGCTGGAATTAGAAAAACTGTTTTTTCTATTACCTGGATAAAGCCCCACTCGGGATCCCATAGGCTAGAAGAAGCCTGGTGGATCTGCACTCGCGCTCCTTCAGCGCAGCCATCTCTGTAAACAGGACAACCTGCACAGTTGTACACAAGGGGAGGCTCTGACCCAGCTGTCCTCTGGCCCCTCTGCACGTTAGCACTCAAGCGAGCCTGAGCTCTGCCAGCGAAATAACCCCCTACTGGTGACCCCAGCCCTCAGTATGATGCACTGACCCAAATGTGCCTGAGTCTCTGTAACAAACCCAACTCTATATATATATATATATATATATATACACAGGAACAGCAAGATGAAGAGAGGGAGGATTTGCAAAGAATATGTTGAACATTGCAAAATGATAAGGTTAACAGGGAACACTTGTGAGATCTGATTTGAAACTGAAAAAGAGGAAGGGACACATTCAGATCTAATGTGTGTTTCCTGTGCATAAAGAGAGCTGAGGAAATAGTTCCTGAATGACAGGCATCGGAAGCTGAAGGAAGATCAGATAAACCAGAACTGAACGTTTTTGCATGCATGCATTTTCCTAATCTTAAACTCCATTTTAGAGAAAAGGACATTAGAATCTGAGAATTTACTTAATATGCCTAAGGTCACACAGCTAATAAGAGCCTGAACTCAAGTGCACACCTGTCTGAGTTCTGAGCCTGGAACTCTGAATACACTCTGTGTTCCCCCAGAATCTGTGGGAAGCCCCTAAACTCAAGCACATATGAAAATTACTGTAGCTGGCTGTGCTTCTGATTTCACTAGAGGGTATGTGCTGAGACCACTTTCCTTTCACCAAATAATATATCACCTATATGGGGACCAGCAGTTAGCGTAATGGCTATGTCACTGGACTCCCATGTAGTCGACCGCGGTTCGCATCCCGGACCCGGTGGCTTAAAACACGCCTGGCACGTGTGCATGCATGCCCAAAATCCTGAGAGGAGAACGTGGCGTGGCGTGGCCATCCCCCCTGGGGGGTGATTTCTCGCTTTCTATCTCTCTGTCTCTCTCTGAATGTCTGGTGAGTGCACACGCCCTATAGCAAAAACCTCTCAAAAAAAATAATAATATGATCACCCATAACTAGACATATCCGTGATTTACAGAAATTGTAAGAAAAGGGCCATGAAAATATGTACACATAGTTCCCATCGATTAAGTGAGGAGACAAAGGAATTTAAAAACGAATATTGTTACAAGTAGAAGACAGGAGAAAAGTCACCCAAAGTGAAGACGGGATGACAGAAAGCCCCCACCTAGAAGATGAGCGGAATGCCATTGGTTTTCTGCATCGCAGAGACGAGGACTCTCGAAATTGAACTACATTATTGTAGTTCAAGGTCTAACTATACCTAGCCAGTGAATCTGACAGTTTCTTCAGCCTCAATTATTTCAGTGCTAGTCGCCTGTAGTCAGATTTATCTTCCTAGAAAAAGACCTGTTTTTATCACAGCGCTATTTAAAGGTCTCAGTGATGACTACCACCAACAGAAGTGTGTCTCATAGCTTTTGTCTTGTATTCAAGGTCATCGAGAATTTAAGTGCACACGAACAGAGCCCTACAATAGACTATTCATCTTGCATATACTATTTTGAATTTCTTTTTGCGATCAAAAGAGCCCTACTTAATTAGTTAACCTATTCCCTTTCCATTTAGTTCCTTCCTGTAGATGTGTTTAATTTCTTTGTTCCTTGGTTCTCCTGACTAACAGTAGAGACTCGTGTAGAAAGTAAAACTCCTCAGACCACACTTCCCATAAGCTCTTATCTCCAACCCTGCAATGTACTTGAAACTGTGTCCATTATTTCCTCTCTCCCTCTGGTTACAAGGGGACAGCAAGTTCTTCCTGTTCTTCCCTTTCTGTGACATCCCAGTCCCCACATACTGAATTCTACTTTGTTCTTTAACCTCAGGAACCTGAAATTCTATTGGCTTTCTCTCACTCTCCTGTGTCTTCAGTCTATGTCTGTGACTACCACTTGCCAACTTCAGCATGTGTCACTCACACTGCAGACTTTAGGCCAGAAGAGTCACATGGCAGAGCACTGTCCTGCAGCTAGTCTCTTTCTATCAACAGCTTTACTGAAAGACAACAGAGAAAAAGAAAGGAAGAAAAGAGAGGGAAAAAACATGAAAGGAAGGCAGGGAAGGAGAACGGGAACAGAAGGGAAGAGAAAGAGAGAGAAAAAGAAGAAGGCAGAGAGAGAGAAAGAAAAAGAAGAAAAGAGAGAGAGAAATCATGAGCCATTGTACAAGTGGTCCTTCATTTGTCCTGGGCTCCATTTCTCTCCCCATCCCCTTGTTTCTGCCCTCCCAGTTCCACTGGAACCACTGTCCCCAAGACCATTACTGACCACTTTGTCCTTTTTCTCTGACTCTTTTTCCTGCTCTTGGCATGCAGCTGGCCACTCCCGCCTTCTGAAAGACTCTTTTCCCAATCTCAGGTGCCATATTGGTCCCTACTCTCTGTGGCTCCTCTTTCACAGACTTTCCTCTACAAGTTTGTGTTCAGTCATCTGCCTCAGCTTTTCTCAGTTCACACTCTTTTCCTTTTACCATTTTATCAATTTTAATCTATGTATTTGATTTTCCTTTGTTTTTATTAAAACTGCCACCTTTCCTTTCTTAGAGATTTTTGCTATAGGATGCATGCACTCACCAGAGAGACAGAGAGAGACAGAGAGACATAAAGTCAGAAGTCACCCCCCCCCCAGGAGGAATGGACATGCCACAGCTTCTTCTCCTTCACTCTTCTTTTGGGATCTTGGGCACACATGCACACGTTCTTGGGGTAAGTTTTAAGCCTCCAGGTCCAGGACTCGAACCACAATCAACTATGTGGGAGTCCAGTGACATAACCATTATGCCATCTGCTGGTCCAGAAAACTGCCGCCTTTATCTTGAAGTTAAACCTTGTACGTGAATGTGTTCCCTTTCTTTCTCATACCTTCCATATCCAAAGCATCAACAAGTTCTGAGAGTTGTCCTCCATTTTCTTTTCCAAGATGTTTAAAACCTAGGCCTTCCCTTCACCTCCACAGCAGCTTTCTACTCACCCCTCTCGAGGGCTCCTGCAGTCCTTGCTAACTGATCTCATTGTCTCCACCCTTGACATCCCACAACCCATTCCGCTCCAGAAAGCAGTTTCCAATGTGAGCATGTCCATTCCAAAACCTTTCCTACAACTTCATCTCCCCCGACTTCCTCGCTGCGATGAGCATTTTTGAACAGGATAATGTCCAATCTTAACTCTCTAGCCTGAACTCTCCCTCTCTCCCTGTTTTACTCTAGATTCACCTGGGAACTAAGTTCCCTTCAGTTTCTCAACTGGGACAAAACCAGCTGCCTCCCTGTCTTGGCCCAAACGCCCCTCTTTACACCAGCTCAGTCCTGCATCCTGCTGGCTCCCGCGCAGTATCACTGGGAGCCCTCACGCAACGCCGAGTCACGGTCGGGCCTTCTCTGCACTCGGGGCCCTGTACTTCCTGGATCTAAGTCCCTACTACATATTTCAGACTTGCCAGTGAGGACAGGAAGGAGAGAAGCAGGACACACGTAGACCGCCGGCAGCCCAAATTTGGCACCCAACAAGTGAGCAACGGATTTTTTTTTCTTTTTCTTTTTCTCATTGTTGAGTAATGGTTTTATTTATTTATTTATTTATTTAGCAATGAATTTTTTTTAAAGGAACCAGTAAAGACTAATTTAAACCTCTCTCTTTATCTTTAGTAATCTTTTATGTGTAAATATTCATTTATGTTTAGCATGTTATTTCAGCTTTCATTATGAGGCATGGGTTTGATGTAACATATTTTAAGTTGTTTTCTCGAAGTCCTGAATGAAATAGCCTCTATGACACGTGCTGTTATATAAAAGTACCTGGGCAGACCGAAGGCTTTCTCAATTGCAAAGTCAAGCGACAATGCCCAGGGATGAACCCGACACACAACACTTCTTAGAATTCACCTTAAAAAAGGTTTGCTCTTTATTTTTCTAAAAACAACAACAACAACAAAAACTTTCTTTTATTACTTGCCAGAGAGCACATGCACTCACTAGAGAAACAGAAAAAGAAAGGGTGAAAGCACCCCCCCTCCCATGGGGCGTGGTCACGCCACAATCCCCTCTCCTCCCTCTCTCCACCCTGTCAGGATCTGGGGCACTCACAAGCACCTAATGTGTTATTCAAGCCCCCAGGCCTAGGATTCGAACCATGGGCAGCCCTGTGGGATCCAGCTCCCTTAGTCACTAAGTTGCAGGGCCAGCACTATTTTATATTATTTACTTGACTTCTTATAAAGAGGCAAATTCTTGCTTACTGTGTTGACAGGGCTACCTAAAAAGAAGAATTATCTTAAAACTAAATTTATGGTCAGTGGACTTTAAGTGAAAAGATCCTTTCCAGAAGTCTGTATTTTTAAACTGCATGGGTTGAGGGAACCAGCAGTTAGCGTAATGGCTATGTCGCTGGACTCCCATGTAGTCGACCGCGGTTCGCTTCCCGGACCCGGTGGCTTAAAACTCACTCCGGGCGCATGTGCGTGTGTGCCCAAGATCCCGAGAGGAGAATGGAGGAGAAGGGATTGCGGCGTGACCATCCCCCCTGGGGGGGTGATTTCTCGCTTTCTGTCTCTATGTCTCTCTCTGTCTGTCTGGCAAGCGCACGTGCCCTATAGCGAAAATCACTCAAAAAAAAAAAAATCAAAAAAACTGCATGGGTTGATTAATAAGTCACCCCCATGAATTCCAAAGTCACTTGCATCAATTTCAAGAACCTATCTTTATCACTTCGTGATTTACAAATTTGTACATTCTTTAAACATTGACTCCAACATGTGATTATTTTAAATAAATTATACAAGTATATACTGTATTTCTTTAGGAAAATGAGCAGGCGGAATTGTTGGATTTGCAAGATGTGCAGAGATGAATCTCAAAGGGGCCTTTCAAAGTAAGTAGCACTTACAGCCTGCAGCCATCTTAAAGCATATTCATTGTGTGATAAATAGGTGAATATCCACTCAACTGTTACCTTAATACGTTTTGTCCAAAAGGTAAAATTTGCATTTACACCTGAGTAATCCCACCAGAAGTAGTCATGTGTCACGCAAAGATGCCGTTTTCATTATCCGTGGTGTGCACTTGAGAATTCAGCCAGTTAAATGTTTTGAGAGGCTGCTATGAGTATTCTTCATCTTATGTCAGGTTTTATATTTTTATGTAAAAGGAGATGCTCTGATTCAAAATCATTTCCCGGTCTAAGCCTTTCACGTACAAAGGAAGAAACCTTCACCCCTAGATGGAGGAGGAGGGAGACTGGCACCCCTAGATGGAGGAGGAGGGAGACTGCAGGGCTAGCTGGATGCTCACCCAGCTCTCAAGTCCCTTCTGTGTTTTGCTGGAACTAAACATGTGGCCATCTGAAGGGGATGGTGACTGAATTAGATAGAGAAGGTGCCTAAGAAAGGGAACGAGCCATTCAGCTCGAAGAACTCGCAGGTCAAGCCTTCCCACGGGGCTACTATGAGTGCCTCCTGGCCCATTCCAGACCTCATTCCGGCCGCATGGCCTGTGGTCAGAGCTCCTGGCCTGTGCGCCCCTCCACTAACCAACATGTCCAGAGATGCTTGTAGGCTGCTTGGGGCAGGAGAGGCAGGTGGCAGGGCAGGCTGGAGGAGATAGTAAAGCCCGAAGGCCTGCTGGGGTTTTGTTGTTTGTTTGTTTTGTTGTTTTTCAGAGAGAGATTTTTGTTATCAGGCACTCATACTCTCAGGAGACACAAAGAAACAGAAGCATGGCCATACCACAAACCCTTCTCCTCCATTCTCCTCTCAGGATTTAGAGCACACACACACACACACACACACACACACACACACATGCCCAGCGTAGTTTCAAGCCACCCATCTAGAATTTGAATCGTGGTAAATCACATGGGAGTCCAGCACCTTAACCACCATGCCACCTGCTGGCCACAAGGTCTGCATTTTAAGTGCCCAGTTGAGGATGCCAACCAGCAGGGGTGCAGCCAAGAAGGCTAATTCAGGAACAGCGTCCCCCTGTTCTCCTGCTGCTGCTGCAGAGGATCACTCCCCGGGCTCGTGTTTTTGCAGTCTGCCCGGTAGACCCGGCCTGAGGAAATGGGAGGAACGAGGAGAGAAAATTCACATCCGTGGCAGGCTGCCAGAGAGCTGTCAACTGATGGGTGCTTTGCATTCACAGCCTAATTTAATGTTTATGATAACTTTGAGATATCACCATTTTATAGATGATAAAACCAGGGTTTGGAGATTTTAAAAACTGTTAACTGGAGCATTGGGATTAGAACCCAGAACTGTTAGACTCTAAGCATTCTTCCTACCTCCTTCCATGACATCGTGATGTCTCCAAATGCTCCCATACACAAAACTGGAGAAATTTTGTCAGGGAGCCTGGGTAGCTGAAGGGATGAAGATGTTTAGAATCACTCTGACCCTAGCACCTGGATAGCCGCAGGCCAGCAGATGTAGATGCTAAGGTACAAATTACAATAGAAACTTGAGTTCAACCAAAAACAAGTTTATTTTACAACTTCATCCCTAACTTTAATGACCCAATTGTAAATCTTCATTACTATCTTCATAAACCTTATGAACCTTACAGGCAAGGAGTTCTCATCCCAATAATTACCAACACTGAATTTTGAGCTAACCCAATAAATACAACTTGCATTGCAGATTTTATTCTTGTTGTATATTGGGAAGTCAGGAAGTCATAGCACAGTTTTGCATAGAAAAATATGTCATGACTTTCCTGACAACCTAATGTAACAGCAAGGCGTAGAACACATACACATAGACATACGATAACCTGGGCACGCACTTTCCATTTGGCTGGACCGAAAAGGTTATTTTAGATTACTCTTCCTAAAGTCATAATAAGAGAAAAGAACAGTAAGCTGAATACCATTTCATGGAAAGGTTTTTTGAGAGCAATCTCGACAGAGTACACTGGTGAGCCTCAGTCCTAATGTAAACAGCCTGTCTAATTCTGGCAGGATCCACGTGAACTGGTCCCGTGGCACCGGCCATTGGACTGTCTGTCCCAGGTGTCACCGGTGGGTCCTGCTTGCTTGTTGCCATCTGGGATTGTAACCAGCTGCTGAAAGCAGGAAAATTAAGCATATGCCATAAACATAACTGAATAGCAATGAACACATCAACTTTTTTTTTTTTTTAATTTGTGCCATAGGGTATGTGTCCTCACCAGAGAAGAGACAGAGAGAGGGAAAGTGAGAAATCACTCCCCAAGGAGGGTGGTCTTACCATAATCCCTTCTCCCCCATTTTCCTCTTGGGCCTTTGGGCATGCACACACATGCACTTGGCATGATTAGCAGGCCACCAGGTTCTGGACTTGAACCTCAGAGTCAGCCATGTGGGACCCAGCGCCTTAACCACTATGCCACCTGCTACCCCCCCATCCACTATTTTAGAAGTGGGAAAAGAAAACCCCTGTGCATGAGAACACACCGTCACCTGCCAACTCACCTGGTAAAGGCTCACCCAACGGGCCAGGAGTGCAGCCGCAAAACCAGCACCTTTCGCGGGTGTCCGTGTGGTGAGTGGCTGTCCACACTGCTCAGGGCAAGTGGCACATGAGACAGCGCACCCTCTAAACACTAAACCCTCAAAATGAAAAGAAATTAGAGCAAATAAAGACTGAAAAAATACCAGGGAGAGGTGACAGCATTCTGTGAGTGCATGCAGATAGGCCCTGTGGGTGAACTCCCGGTTCGGAGAGCTAAAGGGAAGCTCGGTACCAAGGGCAGCACCCAGGCACAGCTCTTAAAAGCAATTTGTACCAAGCAGTTTGTACCAAGAACCTTAAAATATGCATCTTCTGGGCCCAGCAGTGGGGTGTTCATTAAGGCACTGGATTCTCCACGTGGCAGACAGTGATTCAAGTCCTGGACCTAGCAGCTTGCTTCCTCACTCCCCTCCCCCCTTTCTGATAAGCACATGCGCCCTTTAGCAAAATTTCACCTGATCCTGTTTGATTCTACTTCTGCAGTCTCCTAAAGAATCACTTTGCCCATGTGGGCATGGCAAGCCCCAAGCACAGGTGTACCAGATTTGGTCGTTAGTGGTGAAAAGTTAGAGTGAACAAAATGCTTTTTTTATATATATATTTATCTTTATGCAGGTATTTTTTTCTAGAGCTCAACATTTTTCCCTCAAAATTAAAAGAACAGTTTGATTCTACTTCTGCAGTCTCCTAAAGAATCACTTTGCCCATGTGGGCATGGCAAGCCCCAAGCACAGGTGTACCAGATTTGGTCGTTAGTGGTGAAAAGTTAGAGTGAACAAAATGCTTTTTTTATATATATATTTATCTTTATGCAGGTATTTTTTTCTAGAGCTCAACATTTTTCCCTCAAAATTAAAAGAACATAAAAATCCCATAGTTTAGAACGAGCTTACCTGGCCCTTTCTCCTCTTATCTCCCCCAGTTCAGAATCTTTGCACCGTGTAATGGGCAGCACCGTCCTGGCTCTGCGGCTAGGTTCAAGGCATTCAAGCCGTAGCACCATCTTTGTGGAGTAGCCTTCCGAAAACCAGCTTTGTCTGCCCA